TCAACACCTAGTTGTTCGCGTCACTAGCGCGTTCATAGGCATTGATGGCCTTTGAAAGGATTTTCGTCGCCAGCTTCATCTGCTTGCTCAAGTCGCTGCGGTCTGCTGCTTTCTTTGCTGCGTCAGCCAGCTTGCGGAGTTGGACCCCCTTCCTCTCACCACGATACTGCAGTAAAGGAGCGACGAAAACAGAAGCTGCTCCAGAAGCTTTAAGATACTAACCGTCTGTGCAAAGACAGGCAAGCATCTTCCTCAGCCGCACGAGTCGAGCTGCTTGAGAAGCTGCCGCGGCTGCCACCCTCGCTTGGCTGGAGACTCCGATGCTCACCGCATCTGTGGCTAAGAACAGCCAACTGACCTGAGCAAGAGCTTGACAATGAGTTCGGACAAACTGGGATAAAGGATCAAACAGCTGACCCAAGCTTTCAAGTCACAAACTACAAACCGAGCCGCAATGTACTTCTTGATGTCTCGATTGCTGGCAGCCTGAGCCATGTCGTGCGCTGGCCCGGCGACAGGAATGAGCACGATCAGCTCCTTAAGAAGCTCCTCAACAACCCTCATGTGGAAATCTTCTTCAGCCGAACCTTCGCCACTTGAAACCGTCTGTTCCTCGCTTTTGTCCCTGCAAGCCACGCGCCTCCATCTTCCAGGCGTTCTTCAGGGGGCCATGGTGCCCCTGCCCAGAGAGGCTAGCGAGACTGCCGCCAGTGCGAGCAAGACCCTCGGACTGCCAGCGCGGTTGTGTTGATTGAGCCACTCCCTGGCGCTGGCGGATTCCGAACCGGAGAGCCAGATACATGCCCAGTTTGCACGGACGGTGCAATGGTCGGAAGCCATGCCCGCATCATGCTGCTCACACGTCTTCCTACATGCTTGAGCTTGTGTGGCTGCAATACCGATGAGCATTCAAGCTTCTGTGAAACATGCCCTTTCCGGCATCCCACACACATGCCAAACACCATTGAGCACTGGCGTTGCTTTGCAGCACCTCAAGCTCAAGTCACCAGTAGCCATGCAGCCAATTCGGCGATAACACAGCTACAAGCTGCGCCGCAAAATCACGAAACATGCCTCATCTGCGAAGCCTGCCATAAGCCTGTCCAAGTTCCCTCCAATCTAAGGCAGACACAGGGTCACCTGCCCCAGGGAGCTGTCTGCGGCCTTCGGGCAGGGATGAAACAGCATCCGAAGCCTTCAAAACCTCAGGTGTTGGAAGCAGCACCGGGCGGCAATGACAATCCAAGCCACGAAGTCTGGATGTTAGCATCGATAACCCTAAACCCTAAATCGTAAAATGCCCAGGTACGCCCGAACTATTGCAACCCCATTTCTTAATCAGGACTGCCTGCCCTTGCCCGTTCCCTCACCGCCGCCTCCAACTGAACCCTAAACCCTCGACCCTAAATCCTTCCCCGAAGACCCGAACAAGCCCGATGCCAAGCCTGCAGCAACTGCTGCAAGTTTGACAGGATCTTCGTGGTTTCTGGGCCCACGCCACCCGGCACCAGCCTAGGCTGAACCCCGGCACGAAGCCGCAGGGTTTGCTTTAGTATTTTTCAACAGGATTGCGTTGAGGGGCTCCTTTCAAGGGATACCGTTTTCGGTTGCAAAAATTAACGCTCACCAAAACAACCGAAACACGCACCAAACGAGCAGAACACGCACCTAGCCGACGGGGGCTGCACCAAAACAAATGCAAGTGCGCCAACTTTTTTTGGACGCTCGGCCCGGAGAGCATTGCATGTCCGGCGGTCCTTGCCATGAACGATTCCACTCGCGAACAGAGGTGTCAAGTATCTCTGGAATCTACTGCCGACGTTCTCGACCGACTGTGCTTTATCGACCAAAGGCTACGGACCTTGGACCGGATGTGGATACAGGAGCAAACACAAACGTCAATGAATTTGTCCTCCGGAACTTCCATTCCCGGTCACCTCGGAAGAGCACGCACAACAAGGATCTGATCTGACCGGCACTGACCTGACCTGAGCTGACCTAAGCTGACCTGAGCAGACCTGACCTGGCCTGACTTGCTGTGACCTGGACTGTCTGATCTGAGCCGCGGTTTTTTCGAATCTGATACGATCTCACCTGACCTGATCTGATCTGACCTGATTTGCCTGGCTTGACCTCACCTGACCTCACCTCACCTAAACCCTGATTCCTGAAACCTCAACCCTGACACTACTTGTAGCAGGAGTACATTGAAGTTCTTTAGATGTTCTGAGTCTGATAACCCCCTTCATCAACTGTAAATGCAAGTCCATCGTCCTGAAGATTGCGAAACCATTGAAGACGCAGATTTCTTGTCACCTACAAGAGATGGGCTGCAGCCCAAGGTCACCAAGTCCAGCGACGCAATCACGCATTCATGAGCCGCCAGAGACTGTCAAAAGCGCGATCGCGGGCCTCCAAGCCACGTTTCACCACTTCGCCAATGGCGAAACGGTGCTGCAACGTGGCGCCCGGTACCTGGATGTGCGTCTTGCAGTTTTGGAAGTTGCAAGCGTCAAGCTTTCGCTACATTCGTGCTTTCGGATCACAAAGCCCAGCGGCGCAGAGACTCTGGCGCTTCCATCCGGCCCAGCTGCAGCGCGCCCATGTCCAGCCAGCTTCGTGCTCACAGGACATATTTAGTGGCAAGCAAAGCCTAATCCCGAAAAGGTGGAAGTCTGTTGCCTCACTCCGAGTGCTGGCCTGCCGCAAAAGCTTCTCAGTGGCCTCCTCTCCCTGACCGAAGTCAACATGTGGAGCACAAGTGTCAAGGTCAAGATCTGGAACATGCAAGGACATGGCGGCGCGGTGGCTTTCAGAAGAAACAAACCTGGAAGCCATGCCTCAGGATGCAAGAGCGCATTGCGTCGCCGCCGTTGTCGAAGCTCCTGCCAAGACCATGCAAAGCAAGTAGCTTCAAAACGTTTCAGCGACTGTGCAGCATGGGTAGGTGGTGGTAACGTCTGCGTCTCCTTGGCCGACGGCTCGTCTGCAGCTGAGGACATGGCTGGACATCGGCTAGGACTTCATGTTTCTGCTGCTGTACCAAGCTAAGAAACAGTTGCTGGGGGTTCCATCCGAACACTTATCGGCCTGCAATGGCTTCTAGAGGAGCCTGGTCTGCTTCGTGAATGACCAAGACTTGCCCAGGCGGCACTACGGACACTAGCGGTGAGTCTTGGTACACCACGACACCATCCTGAGAAAGAGCTGAGTTGTCAAGGATTCGACCGTTGTGTCGCTGCGCAGCTGCGAGTATTCCGCTTGTTCTTGCCAAGTCTGTGGTTTGGAAGCTTGGTGACTGCAGCAACTTCTTGGTGAGAGTTGGGGTCGTTTTGGTGCGCTGGTCATGGGTCTTGGTGCGGGTTTGAAGGTTTGGTTGTGGCTTCTGGCTGTAATCTACCGTTTTCGCGTTCCTTGTAAGGGTTCCCCGAGGTTCCAGGAAAACAGGCTCCTTGTCTGGGTGCCTGCAATTTCTCCCGTTCTTGGCTGGGAAGATTTGGGCCTGGGACCGGCGGCTTTCGGAGGCCTTACCTTTGATTAGTCGGGAATGGAGGAATGGGGTACAATTACAACTGCTATGACTACCATAATACTATCATATTACTATCATACTACGACCATTATAACTACCATTACTACCATTCTTCCATTCCCTACTGACCAAAGGTAAGAGGCGAGCTCTGACGGTGCAGGAAAGTGGCGAGGATCGCCGTCATAAGTAACTGAGGAAGTGCATGACAAGAATAGCGATTGTCGTCTCAGCGGCTGAGTTCATGCGCCCCAAAAAGTGTACGCTTCCATTAAGTGTAAAGTGTATCCACTCAGCTACTAAGTAGTAACAGAAAGGATGAGAAAACCCCCTTGTAGTCTCTATGCGAGCAACGCAAACAGCCGAAACACCTATGAATCGTCAAAGCTGAAATACGGGGTAACTATACTTCTAACTCCTACGACAAAACTTGTAACCCTACTTATAACTACCCATGAACCTCCAAGTAAGGAATAGAATCCTGGGAGTGGGACTTCATGGTGGCCATGTCCATCCCCTGCATTCCGGAGACGTAGACCATGCCGCCGGCCTCCACACGACAGAGGGGTTTAGGGGTTAGGGGTTAGGGATTCATTAGGAGTTTAGGGTTTAGGGGTTAGGGGTTTAGGGTTTAAGGATTAATTAGGAGTTTAGGGGTTTAGGGGTTTAGGGGTTTAGGGTTTAGGGCTTAGGAGAGCTCCCGATGCCCAACACAAATATGTGCTCTCGGAGACGGGTTAGAGCGTACCTGTGTAGGGACATGCATAAGGGCTTCATGACACGGAACTCTACGGTCTTTTGGGGATTTTTCTGGTAAGGTTTGGGTTTAGGGTTTAGGGTTTATCTCTACAGTCTTTTGGGGAGTCCATAGCAATCCGACCCAGGCTTCGGATCTTTCACCCCATAGCTTACCCGAGCCCTCAGAGAGAGAAGCTTCTTCGAAGTTTGAAATCTGGGAGCTCACACTTTCCACTAGTTCAAAGGGACTTGGGCTTGCAACTTAGGGTTTACCTTAACCCTGAATAACCTACCTGTTTAAAGCTCCTTATTATGATTTTCTTATACAAATCCTTTAGACAGGTAGGTTATTTGGGGTTAAGGTAGGGTCCCGGGATTTCACGCTCAGGGATCCCAAACTCAGAATATAATCATGGCTGCACGCGAAGCGCTTCACACACCGATTTTCTCCTCCGGATGCATCGTTGAGGTTGGACTGCTGCCGATTTTTAGGCAGCCTGTACTGCCCAGAATCTCCGGGCGGGCGGGAGGGCCCATCAACTCGCGACATCACATGAAGCCATGCAAGACATGGCTGCACGCGAAGCGCTTCACACACCGATTTTCTCCTCCGGATGCATCGTTGAGGTTGGACTGCTGCCGATTTTTAGGCAGCCTGTACTGCCCAGAATCTCCACTATGCAAACCGGCCATCAGCGAAAAGAAGCCCAGGGGGCATTTGCGAATGCGCTGGTCAAGGAGAAAGAAGAAAAGGAAGGAGGGCGTCGGCCGCAAGGACGGATTTGCGAGAGCTCGAAGACAAACTAGGCAACACTGAAGCAGCTGTCGTCTCCTGCAAGTAGTGCGCCAAAGTGTTTTGGTGTCCGAGACGCATCCTCCATTGCAGCTCCTGAATAGGCACTCCTCTCTTATGAGCTGTCACAGCTCCACCGCCGCGAAGAGAGCCAGGAGTCAGTCTGAGGTTCTTGGGCACTTCAAGAGCTCGGAGCACCTCATCCCACCGGCGACGATAGACGCCAGCTGAGCCGCCGAAAAGCTTGAGTTCGGGGTCCAAGTCCTGAAAGACAGCAATAATGAAGCTCAGAACATCCTGAGGGGCTTCGACAGTGGCATGCTGAATCCGGGCTCCACGATGACGGGTCTTCGGAGACCTAATGAGAAGATAAAGCTTCCCAGAAGGATCCAAAGCATCCTCGGGCGTCAGTAGGTCCCGCCGGCTTGCAGCTAGCACCTCCCCGATCCTGGCAATCGCATAGAAGCAGAGTAACGTGATAGCGGCGAACCGCCTCCAGCCCCAGGAGATGCTGACAGAAGCGAGAGCTCGAGTCAGCACTTCCGGAATCGGAGGGCGATGCTGCAAGGGCTCCAATCGTTCCCACCGTGTGACATAGTCCCAAGCCGGTCGCATGATCGGTCGGGCCTGAGGCACGACAACTTGGGCGTGAGCCAGCAGCTGCCTGTAGTAGCACAGCGGGGTGCCAGCATCGTAAAGGATCTGAGCGTAGAGGCACAACATGCTAACCAAAAGTCCAGGAACTTCGAGGGTCGAAGCGACTCCGTCACGCCCCAGCTCGGACTGAAGGTACGCAATGAAGGCGGCCCAGTGCTTGTCGCGAACCGCAGCAGTGCGAGGCTCGACCAGCTCCACTTCACTCAGGCAGGCAGGGGTCCGAGGCTGAGAGCGAGCAGGCCCCGGATGAGAAGCCTCACCAATCCGCCCAGCTCCGGCCTTGGCACAGCGGGAGATGTCCAGGCGCCTGTGTCGGTCGAAGAACCCCACGTCTTGAGCAATCGCAGAGCCGACGAGGCGAGCCAGCCTCCGAGGAAAAGGCTCGGCCAGCACCGTCCAGGATACACCACGAGCAGAGCAGCGACCGCGAAGTTGCACGTGAGGTCGGGCACAAGCGCATCGAATGCTCTGCCCTCCAAGTTGGCCACTGCACCTGAATCTTGTAGACTTTCGCCAGAGCTCCAAAGCGGCATGCGTCGGCGAAGAAGTCCTCATACCGCCTCGCCAGGCTGGCCCAGCAGGGCTGCTTCCAGAACCACGACTTCACAGGGTTGGAGATCACGAACTCAAGGCCCCGCGCGGTGGCGACGTCAGCCAAAAGAACACAGAACTCACAAAGCAGATTGTCCCTGCTCGCGCGGAGCCTATGTTCAACAGGAAGGTCTGCGCGACCGCACGGCTCCGCGGCGGTCCGCCAGGCTCTGGAGTTAGCAGTCGAGAAGCTTCCCGCGGGAGGATCGGCTGAAAAGCCCAGCACAGCTCCGGAGGCTAGGAGGCGCACCAGATTGGCTTGCAGCTCCGAGTCCAGAAGGTTTTCCTCAGCGTCATGCCTGCAGTCGAAGCAAAGAACCCACCATGGCGCGGCATCGACGAGGGCCTTCGCAAGGCTTCTAGACCCTGAAAACAAGTCAACCCAACCAGGACCGGACGACAGAGCGGACTGGAGGGAAGGGAAGACAGGAGAGAAGACGAACTGCCCGGGAGAGAAGGAGGCGAGGGCTCCAAGGGCCTCGGCGCTCAGAGGCCGCCCGCGACGCGGGCTCTCCCCAAAGTCGTTGCAGTCTGACTCGGACCTGCCGGCAGGCGAGTGCACGAAGGCTCGGGACTCAAGAGGGGTCGTAGGGCCGTGCTCGGGGAACCCGGGACTAGCTACACTAGAGTGCTGCTTAGGGTCAGGCAGGGGTTCGGGATCCGGCAGCGATGGCTCTGGGAGCACGAACCCGAGCTGCACAGCGCTAGCCTGGGTCTCTCGGGAGGCCCGGTCAAGCCCGTTGATGCTGTAAGCAACAAGAACATACCTAGAGCCTTGCCAGTCTTCGGTCGCGTGAAGGCGGTGAGGGTCGAAGAGGACCGGCTCGTGACTCAGATCGACAACCTTACCTTCGACTTCGCGGCCATTGACACGGCGCACGTCAGGGCCGCCCTCGCAACACACCCACAATCCACCACCCCGAACCCTAGTCAAACCGAAGATGAGGTTAGGCTCGAGGCTGGAGTTGTTGGCATCGACGTGAGCATCAGCCTTCATGTTCCGGAAAAGTCCTACCGTAGTGAACCTAAACCCAGGCACGAGGCGGCGCACGAAGGCGCACAGGACACGAGTTACAACCGGGTGTTCTAAGGTCGAGCTCCTAAACCCTATGACCCCACCGTGCACAAACATCCCAGTGATGAAGCATTTGGTCCCCGAGCTCGGCTTGCCCCTGGGCGCTCGGTGGCCCGGCAGCAGGCGAAGCAGCTGGACGAGGTCGGACTTCAGCACGTTGGGCGACCTCAACAAACGGAGAGCGAGGCGTTCGGCAGGCAGCCTGAGCTTCGACTCCGGGCTTCGAAAGCGGTCAACACTCGCGAGGGGCACGTCTGGAAAGAGATCACTCACCGGTGGAAGCTCCCTCAGTTGGTCCAAGTGGACCCCCAACTTTGACAGGTGCACATCCATGGGCCCGAAAGAACCTGGGAGGAACTCCTTGAACCAAGCGGGCGGGTCTTCGCAAGGTAGTCTAACTTTCTTAAGCCTAGTAGGGTCGTCCGCGGGGTTAAGGTGGGTCTTAGCGAAACCATAAGAGGGCCGGGTGTTGTACCCCAAGTGGTCCGGCAAAGACTTGCGGAGGGCGGCGTTGATGCAGCCCGAGGCGCTTCGGCCCTTAACCAAACATGCTAGCGAGACCTGAGAGTCTTGAAGGTGGCAGTACCGCGAAGAAGGCCAGAGGCGGCCAACACGGCTTTCGGCAGCCAAGGCTGCTCGTAGTTCTCCAAGGTTTATGTGTCGCCTTTGTTTAGCCCGCTTGACACGACCGAAAGGCTTGAACGGAAGCACTCGGCAGGCGGTCTCCCAGAGGGGGTGGCTCGTATAAGCTCCGCCCGGCAGTTGGTCCTCGTCGGGGAGCTCTCCGCGCTCACGCAGCAGCGCATCAAGGGGCTTGAGCAATCGGCTCCACATGCCTTTCTGAAGGCCGTGGCGGCAGCACTCGACGGACACCGAAGGGTGCAACGGCGTTGACACGGCGGCCTCCAAATTAGAGGAGGCGTCGCTAGCAATCAAGACGGGGGCTCCAGGAGTCCGAAAGTCCATGCATGCCTGAGGAAGGAGGACCATGGCACAGAGCAGCTCGTCCCTGAGCTCGGGACACATGCGAAAGACAGCGCGCGGCGGGAGGCCCCGAGGCTCCGAATAAACCTTGTCCAGCAGAGACATCAAGCGTCGGCGGGTCTGAAAGACCGACACAAGTGACCCGGCAAGGATCTCGATAAGATCTGGCGTGGCCACGCGGCAATCAACGGTCTTCAAGAGGAGGGCTCCAAGAGGAACCGTGCGCTTCGGATTAGGACGAATGGTCCCCTCAATACCATCAAGGAGTCCACCCCAGAATTCCGCCCTGAGGGCTTGAGACACTGACTTATCAGGATGTCGGGGGAGGCACGCCTGATCATAGGCCCGATGCACGGCCGTCATCACATCAGGAGCCCGGTGCGAGGAGACCGGAGCGGAGGCTTCGACCTTCTCGAGAACCGCAAGGTCGTCGATCAAGAGACCTGCGATCAGACCATCACGCGGAGGGCGGCCCGAGAGCGTCACAAATTGCTCCAAAGACAGGGCCTGCGATCTCAAAAGAACACTCAGATGCGAAGCCTGCCCGAAGCCGACTGCTGAGCAGTCCCCCATAGCCAAAGTTTTGAGGCAAGGGTGCAATGAGTGATGCTCGTGCAGATCAGCGGTGAAGCACTTCAAGTGAGTAAGTTCTCTAGGTGAGAAGCAGACCGCAAGCGCATTGCGACAAGACCTCTGAGCCCCGACGATGAAGGCATGATAGAATTCCCGAAGGTCCTCAGTCGATGCAGTGAGGCGCTGGCTGGGCTCTAGGTGAAGCCACTGAAGCTGCTCCAGGGAGGCAAGGGATCTGATCCAGGGCTGATGGGGCTCCTCCGCCTGATTAGCCGCTCTGGCATCCAAAACCATGCGATCCCTAGTGAGGCTCTTCGGCACAGTGAACAACCCGTTGACCAGACGGGCACGCACCCGCGAGGAAGGAAGCAGGGACAGTCGATCACAAGCGTCCAGGACCTCCATGAGCCTAAGGGCGCCGGCTCTGCTGCACTCGGGGAACAGGCTCCTCCTGAGGCACGGACCGAGCAAACTCAAGAGGCCGCTCGTAGACGGCCCGACTGGAGCTGTCCAGGTACGGCGCAGGGTCAAACGAAGGAGTGCCCACGAAATGAAGCCCGCTGGCATCAACAGGTTGGGCGAGACTCGCAGCCTCAAGACTGAGCTTCCCACAAACCTTAGAGGAGAGCCAGGCAGGGTTAGGGAAGCTAAGGGGGTCTGGGCGAAGAGAACCATCCTCTGAACCCCAGCGCGAGAGCTCCTCTAGCATCCGCTCGCAGCTTTCAACTTTAGCAGCACTTCGGCCCATCTCTTCAGGGCCGACGACAGGCTGGGAGTTCCAGGCCGTGATGCCGCGACCCAGGGTGCGAACCACAGCCCACTGCTCAAGCGAAAGAGGAGTGCCCAGGCCAAGGGGAGCAGCGTTTCCCACGCAAGAAGGCTGGCCGCAGTACAACCAGGAAAGCACAAGCACGGTGGCATTGAGCGCGAGCTTGCGACAGATGTCGGGTTGGCGTCTCCTTGCTTTAGGCAGGTGGAGACTAGGAAAAGGCATGGGCATAGGCCACACACGCCCTTTGGGCCCCGGCTGTTTGCCAGGTGAAGCAATCCGAAAGGTTGCGAGGGGAGATTTCGCTCGCCCAAGCACGGAGAAAAACTGAGTCCAAAGACTGTCGGCACGCACGGGGCTAGCCTGAGAACCGGGAAGATTAGGGGTCTCAGGGGAGCTCAAATTCTTAAACACAGTGGGATTAGTGCAGTCAGGAGGGGCAGCCTTCACTTTGGCGCCTCGCCCCGCGCACGGCCCTTCCCGGGCTTCTCGGGCTTTTCCTTGTCGGGATCGCTCGAGGTCGATGGCTGCCCGCGAGGGGCAGAAAGCTTCTTGCGGGCTTCGATGAAGGATTCCCTTTCTTTGATGCGGTGCATCAGGACGCTGATCCAACGAGGATCCATCACCTTGGTCTGGTGGCTTTCGCCTGGATCGGGAGGTCGATGGCGACTGAAGCTCGAGAGAGGAGGACTCGGCTCGAGCAACATCTCGGCTGCGAGGAGCCAGCTCCCCGAGTCTAGGGAACTCTGGTCTAGAGCGGCCAACATTAAACACAGGCGAGCTTTGCACTCTTCTTCGCGTCCTGCGAGAAGCGCGTCGAGGGCCCCCGCCGTTTGCCAGCCCCAGCGGACTGGGCCCGCAAACTGCTGGACCCTGCTCCTGTGTTCCAACCAGGCGCGGGAAGTCATAGGCAGATCCTCGAGCCCCGGTGCAGCAGTATGACCCTGAAAGTCTTCCGTCATGAGGCGAAGGATCGAGGATGATATCTTTGCAGGATCCTCCTTGAGCAGCCTCGCGAGCTTCAAGTAGGCAGCCGCCTTCGACGAGCCCCCGCTGCTCGAGCTGCTCAGCCCGACCTCCTCGCCGCGATCCAGAAGATCCTCCAGACTCCCGCCCCGCCGGCTCGAGGCTTCGAGAGGCGGCTGAGGATCTGAGTCATCTTGTGGATAGACTCGGCAACCGACGCCGCCTCCGGCTGCCCCCCGGCGTCGGCGGCGTCCTCTTCCTCCTCCGACTCCGAGAGAACCGTCTTGACCTTCCTTGCACCGTCGCCTAGCTTTACAGGCTTGGCTGCGAGCTGCTGCATGAGACGCAGCTGGTCCTCGGGCACTCCGGCCCCCCTCGCGGCTGCGAGCACGGCAGGATCTAGCCCAGACGCTGCAGGCCCAACCGGAAGAGACTTCGGCTTGGCTGCCAGCTTGGCCTGAGGCTCCGGGGCTTGCGGCGGAGGCGGATCCGCGGCATTGCGATTCGAAACTTCCTTTAGAAGAGCATCCAAACCGCCTTGCAGACCCTGAATCGCATTCTCCAAACCACGAACCCGCGAGGCGATATCCTCGCTCTGCTCTTCTGCAGCTGACACGAAGCCGAAGTGGTCTCGGGCGATAGAAGCAAGGGAAGGGCCGAAAGGCAGGATCGGCTGTTCGGACCCTGAAACAGTAAAGGCTCGTTCCCCGGACTCGTCCTCGTCCTTCGCCACTACAAACTCCTCGTAGTCGGGATTGAGCAAGCCCATCCAGACTCTGACCTTGAAATGGCCATGCGAACAACCGCGATCTGCGGGATCGGCGGCCAGCACCTCGGCGTGACATGGCTTCAGCAGGGCTGCCCGAGGCAAGTAACAGCGCTTGGTGACCCGGTGCCAAGCATGGTGAGGCACCGCAACAGGCAGTTGGCCGTCGACTTCGGCTATAAGGATCAGACTGCATGAGAGAAGCCCTGACTCACCCTGACAATGAAAAGCAGCAACCTTGTAGCTGAGAGCAGCTCGGGGCGATCGAGATAAGACCAAGGCACGCAGATCGGGGAGCCGAGAGTCGGCTTCCTCCCCAGAGTCCCGTTCCTGGGACTCACGTTCCAAATCCTCACTCGGCATCTATCCCACCAGCTGGCCAATCAAAGCCGGCTGTGCGGAGAACGATGGCAGCCTCCCACTGAGATGGGACTCCAACAAAGATGCTACGGCCCGGATCTGGGCCTCGCTTGCACAAACTCTTGACAGCGCCGAAGGAGCTGAAGATCTTCGGGGATGAGTACTTCTCACCACTGTAAGGGGCCAGGACGATGTACAGGCGGGAGGCTAGTGCAACCTTATCCCCACCCGATGATCCGCGATGGCCTCCTGAGTAGGCGCGGCGGAGAAATTCCCCGATCTCTTTTGCCACACTCACACGCTGCGGGTCCTTACCACTCTCAAGGTCGGTAAGTCGCACAGGGCTCGAAGCCGGCAGGGTCGAGGCTGGGGAACGGGAATGCTCTACGGAACCCGAAGAGGCGGCTAAACCCGAAGGGGGAGTTGAAGGAGGCACTACCTCAAAGCCTTCCGAGGCTTCGAGAGCAGCAACACGCTCAGTGAGCCGGCGCAGCTGATCCTTAAGGTCAAGAACTTCAGCTCGCAGCCGGAGAACCTCACTCTCACTCATCCAAGAGCCTATACCAACCTCTAGACAGCCCGAGTTGGCGCCTGGCGATCCTAAGAGCACTAACCCTGAGGATGAAGGCGAGGTCAATGCAGGGGCCTAGCAGCACCCCTATCAGAATCCCGATGAGGACCGAACGCAGGTCGAGGTCCCAAGCAGGCGGATCGAGAAGATCAGGGAGAGGACAGGAGCTCGGAGGCTGAAGGAGGGACGAGTCGACAAGAGAAGACTCGCGGAGGAGAGACAGGACAAGACCAGTTATTCCCCCGGAAGCACCCGCTAACGTCAGCGAGCCAGCCCTCCTGAGCATGAGCCCATCAACTCGCGACATCACATGAAGCCATGCAAGACATAACAGTGTCGCGGGGTATGATGTGGGATGAGTATGCTAAGGCTAAGGCTAAGGAACTTCAAGTAACCTTTAAGGCCTCGAGGAATATACTATTCCGATTTAATTTAATCAAAACCCCGACAGACAGCAACCCCACGGTGCAGTGCTGCTTCCATGGAACATGCTTCGCGGACCATTGGGGGAGCCTCTAAACCCTGAACCCTGAACCGTAACCCCAAAACCTCCAAACCCTGAGCCCTAACCCCTAATCCTACACCGTAAACCCCTGAAGTTCGAGCCCGAATTTAGGCGGACTCGACGATGGCGAGCCTTGACGGCATAGGACAGTGGGAACTTTCCCGAGATGTCCGGCCAGCCGGGCACGGTGATCACAGAGCTGGCATTGCGGCCCTCCGGAAAGAGCTTGAGAACTCGGTTTTTGGGGTTTTCAAGCCTGTAGACTCTAAACCGGTGGGTCGAGTGGGACGGCGAACTTGTGGACCAGTGCTTAGGCTGGCCTTCTGGGATCAGGAGGGCTTCAAGGTTTCAGGAAAGGCCGTAAGGCTTCGCTTGATAGGTTCAGGGCCATGAAGGTTTTCAGGATTCAGGGCACCAGGATTTGGGGCTTACAGAGGCAGCTTCAAGTGCCTGCACCTTCAATGAGATCCTTCTAGGGTTAAACGGCTCACGTTTCGCTGGATTTAACACGTAAGGCTTACCCGAAACCCCAAACCCTGAAAAGAAACCTTAGACCCTCAATGTCTTCCAGGATTTAGAGTTTAGGATGTGGGTGGTTGTCAACATTAGGGTCCCTTTTTTGGTCCTTATTATCATACGGCACCATATTTAGGGTACCCAAAAAGGAACCATAATTTTGACAACCACCCATGTGAGCGATGGAGGTTCTAACTCTGGGCTGGCTTTCAAAGACGTTGCGGCTGATAGACTGTACATTAGAAAAGTACTTATTTTGGTCGTCTGCTGCTGACTTAGACGGGGGTCTTCTCGGGATGGCATTACAGAGGCTTTGTAATTGTTCTTATGGGTTCTTATAAGGGCTCTTGTGAGACTTCTTTCCACGAGGCTCAAAACCCCAAACGCCAAGTCCAAACTCTTATAAGGGCTCTTGTGAGACTTCTTTCCACGAGGCCGAACGCCAAGTCCAAACTCTGGAACCCGAGGAGTCCAGCCCAAACCCAAACTCTAGAACCACTAACCCAAGGCCAAAAGACCCCTAACTCAAACCCAACACTCTAGATCGATAACGGTTTGCTTTCGGAGTGAAGTCATAAAGCCACACGATTTCGTGTTGATGTAGGGTTTAGCGCCCATACACGGCTTTGGGTTTTGGGTGTATGGCCTTTAAAGGGTAAGTGAAGCTACATTGAACTGAAACCGCCCTGCCTTGGTGGCAGCTGTCGTCGTTGTCGTCGTTGTCGTCGTCGAAGTGGTGGTAGATGAGGGCCTTAAGGAAGAGGTTTTTGCTCGGAACCCTCTACCTCCTGAACCCTACAACCCTTGAAACCTCGACTCTTATATTCTGGTTTTGTCAACTTGATGTCTGGGGTTTAGGGAGTTCAGGGTTGGGGTGGTGCGGGCTTAAGGAGTTTTGGCTTTGAAGGGCTGAGGGCGTTCAATGGGTTCGTGCTCAAGGACTTCTAAGCCCTCAATCCCAACAAGTCTTGCGGGAACCAGGTACAGAGACTCTTGGAAGCTTGGTTTTTACCCTAAACCCTACAAGAAGTCTACATTGCATCGCATTTTACTAGTGCCGGAGGTATGAGCACAGTAGACCATCCCAGCAATGACGCTGGACTTTACACATGTGCTACTATCGAAGCTCTATACGATATGGTACTGGTGGTGGCTCACCGATAATAGCAACACTGTACGGACATGTTGCTTCTCTGGCCATCTCCTCCTCTGCTGCTGCTGTTACTACTGCTACCACCGCTGCTACTACGACTGTTACTACTACTGCTACTACTACTGCTACTACTAGTAAATCTACTCCTGGTACTGTAACTGCTACTGCTGCTAGCAGCTAGCAGCAACTGCGCACAACAAGAACGAGAAGAAAGGAAGACCTGAGCAACTCCCACGATAGCTTCTCAACGTAACCCTAACCCCCAAACCCAAGAAGTGATAACCGCAAACCTATGACCCTACACCCTGCACCCTCTACCCGAAACCTGCCCTGATGCCTGTACCCTAAACCGTATACTCTCTATACCCTGAAGAACCAGTCCCTGCTCCTCAGCTACCAACTTCGATGAGGTGTCGCAGCCCTGGGCACAGGGTCTATGAAGGTGGGAACCCTTGAGGAAACCTCAGTGCGTTTCAAGGGAACTCCTCCAACTATGAAGGCCTTCTGATTGCTTTGCAGGAGAAAGGCCTTAACATATATAGAGTATCTTTTATTGGAGCATATGGAGCCCAAGGTGTTGAGCTATTCAGGATGCAATTTGGGCATTGTGGGTTGAGGTTTGGAGTTGAAACTGAAAGGCAAGCTCTCGCATAGACCCCTAAACCCTAAACGACGAAACCCTCTGACCCGAAACCGCGAAAAGCAGCTCAAGCCAAATCTGCAATAACCATGCTAAAACGCCGCAATGCCCAAGGCCTGAATCCCAACCCTCGGCCCAACACCTAGGTTTTGTGGTACCCTTGTAGGCCTTACGGTAGCAACAGTTATGGCTCGTTCTAGTGCCTTTCTGTCTCCTTTTTGAAACCCTTTTGGCACCTCAACCCCGAGCCCCGAACCGAAAAACCCTCTTCCAGGCCTGCAGGGCAAGAAGAGGCAGCAGAGCCTGGATACTATGGGGGCCTTACTAATAGGAACAGGATCCATTTAAGGGCCTCTTCTTTACAAGGGCTCTAGAAGAGTTCCTAGAGGGGTACTGTAGTGTGCTACACCGATACACCCTACAACTACAAGGGTGATCATGGAAGAGTCTGACAAGTTGCGCCGACCCCGATATTGCGACTATTGCCAGGCGGAAGGCTTTCCACAGAGGATTCTCTCGGCCGTGCAACGGTCGGCTGAGGGTTTAAAAAACTGCGGAGTTGTCCCCTAAACCCTAAACCCTAAACCCTAAACCCTAACCCCTAAACCCTAAACCCTAAACCCTAAACCATGGTGTGAGGGGCTTCCGGTATGCTCCTGACAACCTGAAATCCTGAAAGCACGTCGGATTGTGCTCTATGGTCAAAGGTGGACATTGCCTGACCCTAAACCAGGAATCTCCCAGCACTACACAAAAGCGACAACAAGCTCGCAACGTACCCATAAAACCCCACGACTTCAAAAACTTACAGCACGACATCCTTAACCCTAAAAATCTAAAACACTAGACCCCAAAAAACCCTACATGGACCCCTCAAAAAAGAGACATCGCCGGGCAGCAGCTGCAAATAATCTTCCACCCGGCATGTCTCTGGTAGGCGCTAGCCACAAAACCTAAACCTACGTCTTCAAACGGCTGCCAGGTCATGGGTTGAGCGATGGCTTCGGAACGGAGGGTTCTGGGCTTATGGTGCAGGGTTTACTTAAAGGATCATGGGACTTAGTAACCAGGGTTATAATTAGGATAACTATACTTATAACTACTTATAACCCAAATTAAGGTACTTATAACCTTACTTACTAAATCCCAGGATCCTCCAAGTAGGGTTCAGGGAACTGGAAAGTCGCCAATGGGAGCAATTCCGCGCTGCTTCTGGCTTCACCCCTGGTCTTCACACTCGCCATCATGGTTTAGGGTTTAGGGTTTAGGGTTTAGGGTATCATCAACAACAAACAACAAACATCATCTTATCTTCCATCCGCACGCAAACACGAACAACATCAGAGGAAGCTGGCAGCACTACTGGCAACATTTTAAACGTCTAGAAGACGGCAGCAAAGTAAGACTACAAGCTCCCGCAACATTCGTGCATTCCATGCAAGGCCACTCCAGCCGTGTGACTTTAAACAAACGAAACAGGGTTTAGGGGTTCAGGGGTTTAGGGTTTAGGGGTTTAGGGTTTAGACTAGACCGCTGTTTCGGCACGGCCTGACCTAGCCGAACCACACCTCAGCCTCCTTTGCCCGGCGTAGCCTCTCACAGATCCGCGGGCAGCCTCAACCTTACCTCTGGTAAGTAGGGTATGCATGGAAGACTGTTAGTAATAGTAGCTATAATTGCACCCCATTCCTCCATTCCCTACTAACCAAAGGTAAGTAAACCCTAAACCCTAAACCCTAAGCTCGCAGAGTGGATCTTTTTTCCGAGGTTATATGGACTCCAGGCGGCCATCTTCTCAGCCGCAAGGTCCTGCGAGACTTTGCATGATGCCATTAACCTGTCCTCATAACGTAGGAACCTTAGGGTTCCTTTAAAGGGCTCTATAAGGGTTACTATAGAGGATCTATAAGGGTACGTACTATACTACTGTAGGAACCTGACTAAAAAACCTTGGGCCTTTGTGAGGGTTACTTGTATGAATCCCACTATTTTGGGGTTATAGGCCCAGGGTTTCTTGACCAGGCTCCTACATTGCCCCTGTCCACCGCTGGGTACAGCACAAGAGCCATTTGCCCATCCCAAAAAAGCGTGCTCCCGCCTGGACTTGGTCACCATTCCTCTTTTTTGACTTCATCAGATGCAGCAACTCGACCGTAGGCCATGCCTCTGGCAGGTGTGAGGTGACAATCAACCCCTCAGCACCTCCGATCGAATTAAGAATAAGACGCCGTCATCATTAGTCAACACTGCATGAAACAAACAGGACAATAGCAACAGCGGTGGTAGCGGTGAAGCCGATCGCAGTTGCTTGGAGGTGAAATTCATAAGCATCGTTCGTTGCAGTGGTCGTTGGGGTGTCAGGAATCCGCGTGGAAGCTTCAAGAATTTGCATAGAGCCTCCTATTGTCACTCCAATGCCAAAGCCCACAAGACCATGCTTCCTTTATGGAACCCTACCGAAACCCTGCACAAAACCTACAATGGCCATTGCAAGAGCACCTGTAACAAACCTTTGCAACAACCCCAGTAGAAGGACCAGCGGACTTAGCAAGTGGGGTTGCAAGAAAGTCAACTATAGTTATAATTATGATTGCTTAAAGTCGGAGTCCCGATTAGGATACTTACAATAGCCTTACTTACTGAGTCCCCTAAACCCTTGTAGTAACGCGTCCATACAATCTTGCAACATTACTTGCTCTGTCCCTGATCCCTAAACCCTCAACCCTGAACCCTAAACCCTCAACCCTGAACCCTAAACCCTGAACCCTAAACCCTGAACGCTGTGATCCCTAAACCCTGAACCCTGTGTTCCCTAAACCCTGAACCCTGTGATCCCAAAGGAGTAGAAAGGTTCGCAGACCAGCTCTGAAGCCAAGCCCGAGGAACAAGTCCGCCATCTTCTCCCTGAGTCCCAAACTCTTATACTTGGAAGGGCAGGGGACTTAGTAAGTAGGTTATAAGTAGGGTTATAATTGGGGTAACTCTATTTAGGGTACTTATAACTCTACTTATAACCTACTTGCTAAGTCCCCTGCCCTTCCAAGTATACTATCCTTATAGAATCCCGCCAAGACGCGCTCGAAGGCTGCAGGCGGCCCTGGGTGCCCAGCTGGCCGAAACCTTCGTCTCCAGTTTAAGGATTTGAAGTTTAGGGTTTTAGGATTTGAGGTTTAAAGTTTAGGGTTTAAGGATTTGAGGTTTAGAGTTTTGGGTTGAGGGATCATGTTTCAGCGATAGTTATGAATTAGGGTTTCCTCTAGGAGTAACTCGGTATAGTATAGGGTTCCCTTTAGAGGCAGCCCCTAAGTTATGATTATTGGTAGAATTGATTCCGTGAGGGTCCGAACTATACGGGTTTAGGATGTAACAGCGTCAAACAAGATGAGTCTGGGGGGTACTAGAAGGGTTTAGGGTTTGGGTGTTGCGAGCCGAGAATCGAGAGTTTGTTGCTACAGCGTCTAAAGCTACCCACAGGTTTAAGTTTTTTGCCGCTACAGCGGCTCAAAGTCTACGCACGGACGCATCAAAATGGACACTTTCACCGGTGGGCCCGCACATCCTTCAACCCCCTCTGCTGATGAGGGTGCTAGGACTTGTATCCGTACTGTGACTCTCCGACTCCACGATTGAATTAGCGTGTATGGTTTTGGGTGTTTAGAGACGCCGCTCTCAGCAACTGAATCAAACTGTATCTGCACGTACGCAATCAACGCGGCCTCCTACAATCAAGCAGCCCAAATCTGAGACACTGAAGCTCTGAAACCGCAACAATGCGGCTTCGCCTACACGCTGCTACTTTGCTCAACCCGAATCCAAGAAATCCTTAAGCCCCTTGCCTTAGCCCAACAAGCTGCAAAAGCCCTTAAAAAAGCGCCCCCTGAAGCCCATTGCCTTAACCCAGACTTCCCCTGGAATCCCGAACCTGCGAACCCTTCTGGCGCGCTTCTAACAAAGGGGTAATTTAGGGTTTAGGGTTTAGGGTTTATGTAATGTAAGAATTTTAAGTTACCAGAATAGGGATCTATAAGGGCTCCTTTAAGGGATCTTTGAGAAGTCTAAGGTGGTTCGAAGCATTTCTCTTACCTTTGGTTAGTAGGGAATGGAAGACTGGTAGTAATAGTAGTGATAATTGTACCCCATTCCTCCATTCCCTACTAGCCAAAGGTAAGTTATTGGGGGTTGAGGGCTTTGGTAAGGGTTTATTGAGTCTCACTGTGGGTGCTTTATGGCGGCCTTCATAGGGTTGAATTTAAGGACCTTCATAACTCAGAACGGGGTCTTCTGGCATGATCCTATAGTTCTATCGGGGACTGAAGGGGATGATATTGTTGATGATATAAATCCTGCAGTACCCATAATAAGGAATATACCATAGTTCCCATAGTTTAGGGTCATGAAGGTAATGCAGGATTTATATCATCCTAAACCCTAAACCGCCTTTAGATCCCTTAAAGGAATCCCTTAAAGGTACCCTAATAGATCCCTTTAAAGGAACCTTAGGATTCATATCATCAACCGTATTACTGAGTGTCGGCAAGGTCGGTCTGAACACAGGAGCTCAAAGCACCGAGGAATCCTGTCTGCTGCGTATTCAGACCTCTTAAAAAAAACAGCCTAACCCCCTAAACCCCCTAAACCCAAAGCCGAAAAAACCCAAAGCCCCAGAAAACCTTAGGCGACGTTCTGCATGCGAGTGGCGGCTTCTTGCCGCCCCGCCGCGCCTCCATGGTTTTTCTTCTCCTTAGCTGCTTTGCTCTGAGGGTTTAGGGTTTAGGGTTTACGGTCCGGGGTTGATGGTTTGGAGTTTAACTTTGGGGATTTAGGGCACGGGGCGGCTTAAGGCTTGAAGTCACGAGTGTTGGGGTTCGGTTTAAGGCCTTGGGCAGAGTCGAGCCGTTCCGGTGAAGGGCTTTAGGGTTTGAGGGTTTAGGGCCAGGGCTTGGGGCTTAGGGCTTAAGGATACTAATACTAATACTATTATTAATATTAATACTAATAGTAATTAAGGTTTAGGGGTTTAGGGTTTAGGTTTAGGGTTTAGGGCTTAGGGCTTAGGGTTTAGGGTGCTCCGGAGGTGGTTTTCAGCCGGACAAACAGCTATGCCGAAGATACAACTCGTTTGGTTGAGAGGAAGTGCAGGCTCATCACGGGCTGAGGGTTGCTGGGTTCTTGTTAAGGAAAAACTATCTCAACATAAGTTCGCCCGAAACTTAAATTAAATGCCTCAACAAGAACGCAGTCGAGCTTAGGTGCGAAGGCATAGGAGGAATTGAATGCACCTGTTGGTCCATGTGCTTCGTCTGGCTCCCTTGCATACTCTTCTTGCGTCTGTTCTCGCAAGCTGGCAATGGCGTCTCAACGCTAGATCCAGGCCAACTCGCACAAGCTTATGCAGTACCCCTGAACCCTAAACCCCACCCCTCTAAACCCCAAACCCTAAACCCCACCCCCATAAACCCGAATCCCTAAACCCTATACCCTACCCCCGATTATCCCTAAACCTGAATCCCCCACAAAAGGATTGACAGCCAAGACTCTTTGCTTCCCGGCGTTCCTCCTCTAAAGGTTGAACTCGCTCGGCCATGGCAGCGACGGCTGCCTCCAGACAGGTTCAGGGTTTAGGATTTGGGGTTTTGGGTTAAGGGTTTATAGGTTTAAGATATATCAGCCCCACAGTCCAACATGCGAATGAGGATCTTCGCCAACCCTTGCGGGCTTCATACGGCAAACACTAAGAATGGTTCCGAAAGAACCGACATTCTTGGGGAGACAAGGCAGCTAGCTTTGAGGATAGAGGGTGCAGGGGGTAGTTCGGAATTTAGCAGTGCTGGGCTTCAGGGTTTTTTTATGGTTTAAACCAATATCCAACCGCCATGCTGTGCTTCCTCCTGAGCCTAGGCTTTAGGGTTCAGTGTAATCTGCACTTTCGCTCCTGAAACCTAAGAAAAACCACTGCAACATCAACAAACTCACACTCGTAGAAGACCAAGACAAGGGATCAGGTGTATCACAGACGATGGCCGTGTCTGAATCAAACAAGTGGCATGTCCCACAGGCCGTATCCTGCTCTTCGTCGTCTAACGCTCATGAGACGCGCTTAAGGCTCAGGGTTGAGATTGCTTCCAGCCTGTGCAGCAAAATGTTCTGCTTGCTTCTTGTTCGATGCCGGCTCTCCCTCATAGCAGTCGTCGTCAAGGGATGCCTGGGCTTTGTCGAACACAGCTCTTTCTCAAGCCGTAATCCCATGCGAGCAACATGAGTGACGATCGTAGCGCGTCCAGCCATACCAGAGGTCGTCTTTGGAAGGGAAAAACTCAGACACAAAAAGCAAACGATTCGGGTTGTAGCTGATTCTCGTTTGGGGCCCATGCCAGGAAGGCCCAGCTGGATGGCAGCATCGGCAAGGTTGAGCGGGTGGACAGCGGCAGCATGGATGTGAACATTTTGACCATCGTGACTTTCTTTAAATGTTATCAAAACTGTGTTGCTACAGGGCATTTTTTGCAACAAATTTTGTTGACGGCATTCTCGGATCATTGTGCACTGCGTTTTGGCAGTAGCTGATCGCTGAAAAAGACACCGCTGGCATCTTGACCATTATCATCACTCTGATTGCTAGGATCATTGCAGCTACATCGGTTGCTACGATTATGCTGAGGGTGGTAATGTCCGGCTTTATTGCTGGACAGGTGGGATTGCTTTGACGACTGTATCGATGTCACAGCACTACGGTTTCTTTGGTTTTCGGCAGCACGCTGAACCCTACACCCTAAGGCCTTAAGGCAACTAAACCCCAAAACCCTAAGCATTTCGGAGCCTTAAACCGTAAACATGAGGATTTCGGAACCTTAAACCCTAAACCCTACAGAGCCCAGATGCCAAGCGAACGGTGGCCACGTATTGGCTTCCCCTCTGGCCAGGTACGGGGAGCTCCTGGACCTCGTAGGCGATCTCCTCACAGGGTCGGATTTTCCTTTTAAAGGATTAGGGCTTTGTTTTTGCTTTTAAATAGGGCTTAAGGGTTAGGGTTCAGGGTTTAGGGTTTAGGGTTTAGGGGTGCTGTCAGTAAGGCCCTTTGGCCCTTAACTAATCTGCGAGATGCTTGTTGCATTGGGTTGCACTGAAACTGGGCTGAGGCTGGGCCCTCCGAAAGCAGGGAATGGCGATCAATGGCCGCTTGAAGCCTTCGAGGCTGGGGTTGGCGGGCTGTGCAGTGTTGATCCTCTTCTTCGGGGCTTAGGGCTTTTCGGTGAATCCTCCTTGACGACAGGCCGGCCGGTGAGCAGCTGTACCATCTCGTTGAGCTTCATCTTGGCATTCATGGCATTCTCCGCAGACTCCGTGGCTTTTTGCGCTTTTTCGGGCACTTCGGCATACTTTGGGAAGTCCGAGTAGATGGCGGCCCTGGCCGCCGCATGTTCGGCCTGCTTCTTGTTGATTGAGAGCTCCCCCTGAAAGGGCGAGCTGAGAAGGGGTGCTTGCACCGTGGCTCTGAATTGTGACTCCACAGCCTCCACGACATAAGAAATCTCATCCTTTGGTATGACCTTGCGGTGGGTCTGCTGATACGCCTGCTGAAGCAAACCCTTCCAGTTCTTCTGCGTCTCGCTGATTGCTTGCTGCGCGCAGCCATCTCCTTGAGGTTGCGGCCAAGGCTCCGTGGAGCGCCCACGTCCAGGAGAATCAGGCCATTCTAGAAGGCCCTCTGCATCGAGTTGCTGCCAACGGCTCCGCTCTGCCAAGACTCGACCCCAAACATTCAAGAGATCGACAGTGGGCATAGACAGATCGAGCACGGCCCCATGCAGCCGTCCTGCAAGATCCTCGAAGGCTTCCCAAACCGGCACTTCTTCTGCCCGGGCTGCTCTTGCTGGCATTCTTCCTGGCGGTCTTGCCGGTGTTATGTGCATCTTCCCCACCATGTGTCCTCCGCGTTGCCTCTTCATGGCGCAGCTAAGGCACAGCTACAACTTGAGGCCGAGAGAACACAAATTACGATAACAACATCCACCTACAATCATGCAACCATGCAGCATGAGTACATGATACCGGGCATGAACTCGAAGCCCACTCTGAGCAAAAGTGTTCGGCAGAGGCCTCTAATTGTAACACTTGGGACCGGACCCGCAAACCACGCCAGCCTGGACCCCCAAACAATGACGGTGACGACCAAGACGACTCGACGACCAAGACCACCAGGACCATCACGACGAACATTACGACCGAGGCGACCACCACCACCACCACCACCACCACCACCACCACCACATCCTTATGGCTATGGCTTCCACCAATTATACACAAATACTTCAATTAGCTTCATGCTCGCGGACTTGCACAGTTACTTGATCAGTTTCCACACATCCGTGCCAACTGCTTGCCATGGTCGCCCCCGTCTTTGCGGCAGCAATGTTAAAATCTCAGTCTGAAGCCAGAATGCCACAAGTTCGCGACTGCCCTCACGTAGCAGGGTGGATAAACACCTACAGCATGCATGCGTCACTGGTCGGCAGGATTCGTCAGCAGAAGCATCTCCCGCGGCGTTCATGGAAGAAGGCAGGGGCAGGGTAGGAGAAGCTCATATCAAGGCACGGAAGGCGACCGCGGCCACGCTAGGATTCGGGTCGGAGTCGGAGCTTCAAATCTCTCATGGCAGGCAGGCACTGGAAGACCGCTTCTGCTGCCTGCGCAAGGAGTAGGATACATGAAAGAAATCTCGCGGCGCCAAGTATTGCAATGCCTGACCTGCGATTTCTCAATCCACGAGGGTTCTTAACGGCGGACAGCAAGGACGACTGCACCAGTGTTGCAGCACCGCCAGCAGTCATACTGCCACTCTACATGACCCGCAAGCGATCTACAGAAAACTGGACGATACAGTCAAGACCAAGGCAGGAAAGGACAAAACAAGGCAGGCACATAAGATGAGCCCTTTGTGTTACCCGAATAACGAGTACATACTATTATAAGGACCCGGAAACAACACTAGATCATAGCTTAGAAGAGCCCTCAATAGCCCTCACATCACCCCACCTCCAATGCGGCCTCGCTCAGGTAATTCTCGAAGAGCAGCAGCACCCGGAGTTTCTGATGTTCCCGAAGACTGTTGACCAAAGCCTGCGGCGAGAAGTGAAGCGGGTCCACTCTGGGGACCTGTCACCAAAAAAAACTCTGGTTCCTTCATAACGCCTACTTCGTGATCCTAATGCGATGAACACCAGCTACTGTCGGACTGCAGAAACTTGAAACCTGGGTCCACAACAAGGAGTAAGATCATATCCTGCAAGACCCCGAGACCCTTTAAGCCGGGTTTCCTGAAACCCAGCCCTGTCTTCAAGAGAAACGCCTCCGCCCCTGCATCGCCGATCCGATTCTGCTGAAGCCTCAAGGGAGCTGCAGGTTTCAAGTCGTGCGGATTTATGGCTGGGTAGATAACGTTTTGTTGGAGCAGAGGGAGGACTAGACTGAGTGAATATAGAGGTTGAGAGATACCGGGCTTGGGCGCTGCAGCGATTGTAAGGGGCAACTGCAGGGACTGCTTGGGCTGCAGGGCGCCCGCGAGGCTGCAGTGTAAGGGGCACTTGGGGGTGACGGCACCTGGGGGGCTGCAGCGACTGGGGGCCTGGGGGCTGCAGCGGCTGTGAGGGCTTGGGGCTGTGAGGGCGTCCTGGGCCTGGGAGGGCTGTTGAGGGCGACTGGGTTTGGGGGTGCCACTCACATGTCCTGCACGTCATGCACTTATCATGCACCTATCATGCACCCATCCTGCACCTCCAGGGGAAGCAGTGCCGCAACCATCAGTGATTCCCGAGTGCAGCGGTACGGCCGCGCCTCAGCCACCATCGAATACCAACGATCTTGGAGGGATTCCGGGTTCGGTTGGAGGTTTTCAGGGCTGTAGTCAGCCACCGCCGGGTCTTAGTGTTGGTGCCGCGCCAGCCAGGACAGTTGATTCGGCAGAAGAGAACATCCACCACGGAAGGTGGAAATTGCTACAGGAGGTTCCAGATCTAAATCTAGGTTCGGGGGAACCCTGGGAGTTAGGTATGAGACTGCGCACTTGGACGAAACAGGTGGAGGCCGTCGCAGGCACCATAGCACCTTCGTTCAGCGAATACGTGAAGTCTCAATTCCAGCTGGCAGAACATCGACATCAGAATAGGATGGTAGGCCTTGCCGATTACAGAGTTTCAGACCCTCTTCCGAAGGTTCGTGTAGAGGATACTGAGAAGGAAAATCGCTTGGTATTGCTATTGATTAGGTGTTTGCCTTCAGAGCTGAAGCAGAGTGTCATGGAGAAGCATGGCGAGGACGCCATTCGGGCAGCGGATCTTCTTGGGGGGGTTCTTGAAATCTTGCAACCTGGGGGTGCAGCTGAAATGCAAAGTCTTCACTCCTTTATTCGCAGTTTGCAGCCGGTTCAGAATGCAAAGGACGGGTTGAGCATTCTTCGACGTTGGAAGTTGGCTCGCTCGCGAGCTGAATCCCTGAATCTGCCCCAAATAGCCCCCTACGAAGAACTTCAGGCACTAAACACTTTGATCAAAGTCTTAGAAAAAAGGCATGAACGATTTCGAACTCTTTTGTCGCTGTCTAGAACACGGCCTGAAATCATCAGGCCCACGCGCGGAGGTGTTGAGACCACTATCGCCTTGATTGATCAACAACTTCAGCTTATCAGTGCAGACGAACAAACCCGAACCAACAGCCACGTGGGAACAGATCCTCATGCGGCAAAAGGCAAGGGAAAGGGAAAGGGTGGTGGCAAGACGACTGCCGCTTCTGACAAACCTTGCGTTTTCCTTCAGAAATTTGGGAAGTGTAAGTTCGGGGATAGGTGCTATTTTAAGCATGAAGGGGTTACAAAGTCATCCGTTGCAAATCAGACGACGACATCAGTCACGACACCGACGACATCCACTGAGGTGCAGCTCTGTCAGCTTTGGTCGCGGACCGGGAAGTGCAAGTTCGGGGATGACTGTAAGTATAAACATCAGGCGGATGCTAATCAAGCAGCTACCCCAAAGCCGAAGGCTAAGCCTAAAGCAAAACCCAAGGCTAAACCCAAGGCAGCAGCATCAGCAGAGAGCAACAGCAGCAGCACTTTGGTGGGAGCTAAAGCATCATCAGTGAGAGTGACGGCTGGAGCAGTGGTGTCAATGGCCATAGGTGAGGATTCCTTTTCCAGTTCTGGGGATAGCAGAGGACGCTGCGGGGGTGCAATTCCTGATCGACCAGGCCCTGCTGGCCTACTGGACCCAAGCGGAGGTCTCGAGCTTCGTGGCGGGAGAGCTGGCCAACTACGCCACGACTGCATCCGTCAGCTCCAGCATCAGCTCGGCGCTGTCGAGCTATGATGACTCCGGTCAAGTCGACAGCAAGATAATAACTGCTTTGCTCGATGTCTACACGATGGCCGAGGTGGATCAGGCCATCGCCGATGCCACGTCGGGCTCGGTGGACCTGTCGGCTTACTACAGCTCCGCCCAAACGCAGGCCTACGTGGCCAACGAGCTGCTGGCGTATTACCCTCGCACGGAGCTGGACTCCCTGCTCACGGCCACGCTCACCCAATACTGGACGTCAGGGCGCACCCAAACGGAGATCGACGACGCCATCGCCGGCGCGGGCTTTCAGACCCAGGCGGATGCGGACCTGCGCTACTTCGTGCGGGCTCCCGGCGCGGAGTCGGGGCAGGTGTTCAATTTGGTCCAGGAGCAGTTTACTCCGCGGATCGTGCGCAATTTGCTTTTGGAGGCGCCCCTGACCGGCGACGCTATCCTGGGGAACCAGTCCACCCTGCGCATCTGGAGCGACTCCTGGTCCAAGGCCGAGGCGCCCGCTCGATGCCCGCTACTTCGTCACCACTCCCGGCGCCGAGGGAGGCGGCATCTTCAATTTGGCGCAAACTCAATTTGTGCCGAACATCATCCGCAATTTGCTGTGCCAAACGCCCCTGTCCTGCCAGCCCATCCTGGGCAACGGCAGCACCCTGCAGATCAGCTGCGACTGCTGGTCCAAAGGACAGAGCGACACCCGCTACCCCCTCATAGCCAACTTCAATTCGTTGGGCCAGCGAATCACGGACCTGGAGCACAGCCCCGGCGTGGACCCCACGGCGGACCTCACCGTGAACTTGCTGACGGCAACGAGCTTCGTGCAGACGCCCTTGCTGCAGAGCGCGGCGGCGGACCTGCAGATCCAAAACGCCACCACCACCATCCGCGCCGAAGACGGCACATTGGTGGCCTCCTTCGCCACCGGCAACATCGGCCTGGAGCAAGACATCACCGTGCGCTCGGACCGCACGCTGAACGCCACCACGACGGCGAATATCGCCCAGTTCTTCGTGGGCTCCACAGCAGCCACGGGGACGTTTGCGAGCAGCAGCTCCGTGACGGCCACGATGCAAATCGAGAGCGACCTGCGGGTCCAGGCGCCCCTGGTGCGCTGCGATCCGGCGGCCTCTGTGCTCACCATCCAGGGAGGCACCAACGGGATTCTGATGGACGACACGGTGCGCATCAACGGGGTCCTTGGCCCCGAGGCCAGCCTGCCGTTCCTCAGCCTCTCGGGCGGGACCAGTGGAGTCCAGGTGCTCAGCCCGCTGCTGGAGCAAATCGCGGTGGGACCCACGGACGGCACCGTGGGAGTGGTGGTGCGCAACGCGGCTACGACGGGGGACGCCGCGCTGCTGCTGGACGCCAACAACCAGGCCGGCGTGGCGGAGCTCAAGGTGCGTGCCGGCGGCAACTGCGAGCTGAACGCCCAGTTCCAGTTCATCTCCATGAACAACACGAATGGCATCGCCAACTTGGCTATTGAACCGAACACAGGCGGCTCCCTCAATGGTGAGGTCATCTTCGGCTACGGCCACCTGAACGCCTCGGACCGGCGGCTCAAGGACATCCGGCGCGTGCCGGATCAGCCGGCTCTTTGATGCGGT